TTAAAAAAAAAAAAAAAAAAAAAAAAAAAAAGAAAAGATTATGTACCCAATATAATTAACATTTATTTTTCATAACAATAAAGTTGAGTACTTACCTAATTGATCTATAGTGAAAGACCGTTCTTTCCCATCAAGAAGTCGTACTTCAACGTCCGGAACTCCCCTTCCCCATCCAAGCTTATATCCTTTTACTTTAATACTTTGATCTTTCGGTGGGTTCCAAAAAACTTGTATATAGTCTGACATCACTTTTGCTATAACATATCCACATAAAATGTGTTCAATACCTTTGCATCAAAACTTAAAACAACGTAGAAAATGTTTAAAAACTAACTTCTTAAGTTGCTGGGTGTATTTGGCACTCTGTTCTCATTGGACTCGGTCTCGTATGTTTCTATCTGTATCCACTCTGTCCAAGGTCCAGTACCATTCACGTTTAAGGCACATATACGAACTTGATAAACAACATGTTTCTCAAGTCCTGTGAGCACTCGTGAGCGTTGATTTCCCTCAGTTGTTATAGTGACAGGCTGTGAACCCCGATCGTGTCGACGATAACGAATTTTGTAACCAGTGATAATTCCATTTTGTCCCTCGAGTGGAGGTTCCCATCTTATTATGATACTCTAAATGATGAAAATTCATATAACGATATTTTTGAAGTTTCCTTCTTAACGCTACGAAATTCTAAATGTAGTACATACTGTGGGACTAACTGGTTCTACTGTAACATTGTGTGGTGGTTGTGTAGGTTGTGCGCTATGAGTCCGGACTACGATATCTCTACTAAACACTCCAGGACCATTCTCGTTTACAGCCTGAACTTTAATACTGTATTCTGTATAAGGCACGAGATCTATTAATTCGTGCATAGTGCTAGTAGTTTCACGCGTTATTTCCTCATTGTCACCCTTCAAATAAAATATACAAAGTTTAACATTATAGTTTAATATCGTGCAGTTATTAAGATGTTCAATTTACAGCCGTATACCTCTACAAACGTAATTATGTATTTAGAAATTCTTCCATTAACAACTTGTGGCTTTTCCCAAGATAGTGCAATGCTCACGCTGCTTGTCGCGTGGCCCTCTAAATTCAACGGAGGTCCCGGAACATTGACCTATAGCAATCAATTTAAAACATCCTGATTACAAAACTATTTCTTTGATTATTTATTACACACGTTGGAAATTACGGACCTCGGTAAGTGTAGTAACTTGTAATACTTCACTAGACATTCCAGGACCTCTTTCATTCAAAGCAACCACTCGAAATTGATACGTCATACTTGGTTGTAAACCTCGTATTACTTCTTCTAACTTTTGTTGCGTATTAATAACTCGTTCTCTTTGAACACCTTCTTGTTTATAATAAATATAATAATTTAGAATCTCTCCATTTGTATTCTCTGGTTCTTGCCACCGTAAAGTTACGAATCTGGCGGTGACAATGACGAGACTTAAATTCCTTGGTGCTGACGGGACACTTCCTTCTATTGACTCCAAGCTGTCTGTGTCATCTACAAAATGGGATTTTGGATCGTAAAGGGAATTAGGAAATCTAACAGATCCAGGAAGATCTGCGGGGTCATCAGAGGGACTAATGGAGAGCGGAGGATTGGGCGTGAACGCTGACATTGCGTGACCTAAAAGGGTACTCGGGTGCTGCCACGTTTTATTATACAATTGCCGATGCAATAATAATTTTCTCTTGGGAGCAGTCTTTGGAGTAGTTGTTTTATGGGAATTTGCCTTCTCTGAATACATATGTTAGCATGCAACACAGTTAAAGAGGAGGAAACACAAATGGAAAGAAATAAAGATTAAATTAAAATTTTTACAGAAAGAAACTCAAATTAAAAATGTTTTACTTTTGAGTAAATAAAAAGAAAAAATGAAGATCGATAAACTAACAGGTATAATACACATACGAAAGAATGAATCTCACTACAGAAAAGTGTTAAAAATTATACATATAGAAAGTTGAATGTACATAATCTCAGCTACAACACAACACTCACTAGGTTGATTTATTGTTAAACGCGCTGCAGCTTGTACACTTCCGGCAGAATTTGTTCCGATACATTGAAAAATTCCAGCATCTATCGGTAATAGGCCGTTAATTCTAAGATTATAACTGGAAGTAAGCCCATAAGAAATAGTTATTTTATAATATTTCATAAATATCCTTGATATAGCACCATAAGTCACATCCTGTAAACTTACCCATTAACAATTTGCCAATATGCACTTAAGGTAATGCGTTCTCCATTTTTCAGCCAAGTAATTTTTGGTTCTGGCTTTCCATAAATTTCACATTCAAATTCCAGATCTTGATTTTCACTAGCTACCTTATCCTCTGGCTTTTTTATAAATTTTGGTGGAACTAAAGAAACAGTAAAAACAGGTTGGTATTAAATAATAGGAAACAGAAAACTGAAAACACAAGTATTAAAGGTAAGATACCTTGTACAATTAAATCAGCAGCTGCATCCAATGTTTCAACTTCATTATCTGCACGACACTGATAAGAACCATCATCTATTTCTTGGACATTACTAATCACAAGACTAGATGCTGCAACTGTGCTGTACCTAAGCATTAAAGTAAAAGGTTTAAATAAAACAGGCTTACACTAATGTAATTGTTAAACATTCTTATTGCACACCTAGATGCAAAAGATGTTAAGTCAATGGCAACACCATCTTTCAACCAAAGTATACTTGGCTTTGGATAGCCATTGGCAGCACACTCAAGAGTGACTGTTGATCCTTCAATAGCCACTTGTTGTAATGGCTTAGCAATAAAGACTGGTGGAGTACTTTCTTGATCTATGACATGAAGTAACAAATTAAAGTTTCCTTCATAGACTGCATTCACTTATACATCAGTACTTCTGAAGATTTGTACTAACCAATATCACTTGTTAATAATCCTAATTGTGCTTTGTTACTGAGTCTATATTGTCCATAGCTACTAGCATTACATCTGTATGATCCAACATCTTGAATGTTAACATCATCAATTTCCAATGCACCTATGCAACATAAAAGAAATCAGTGGAATTTTTGAACATGTTTGAATATCCAATGAAACAGCAATGTCAAAATACCTGATGGTAATACTGTCATTCGACTTTCATTAAGAATTAGTGGATGTTCATCTTTTAGCCATTGTATAATCAATGAATTGGAGGATGTAAGAAGTGTACAACTTAAATATGCAATTTGTCCTGGATAAACCATACTATCTTGAGGTTCCCTTTCAAATCCTGGCAAGCCTTTAAAATAAAATTCTTGATATAATCTTAGTTCTTCAAACACAATGTTTTGCTTTGAAAATAATTGAATGATGTTTTTCTAAATACTAACTTGCAATCTTAATTGTTGCAGTTCGAGATACAATAGCTCCAACATCATCTACAGAAGCTAAACACTGATAGCTTCCAGTCAATTCCGGGCTACTGCCATAAACACTATTTATGTACAAGGATCCATTTGCTAACTGAGATCTAGAACAACAGACATGGTAGAAGCTTCTTCCTAGAAAAGGGCATTTCTCTAAATGTTTTAATACCCTTACCGGTAACTGTCTCCAATAAAATTAATTGGCTGTCCATCATCAGTTCTCCACTGTATACCAGGTTTACCAAAATCACTTTTTGCTTCACAATCCAATCTAGCTGGACCTCCCTGTTCAACCACCACATCTTGTGGCTCAATGGTAAAATACAATCCACCTCCACTAGCTGCCAAGAGCAAATAATACGTTCACTGTTTTTAATTGAGATTTTTCACGAAAAAGTCAGAAAGAAAATGAAAAACCCACGTGAAACACATAATGTTTTAATGTACATGGACATTGTCAACTAATAGCAGGGTAAAGGGTAACACTACAGCCATAATATTCTCAAATTTCGATTGCATTTGGTAAGGTAGCTAACACGTGCGTAGGTGTCTAAATATCATGATGGTAGTTGATGAAAAAATTGCTGGAGGTTAGGTATAGAAGGGGAGATACGAACGTGTTGTAGAGTAATTGAAGAGCAGAGTGGGGATAAAGGGTCGGCAACCCTACAGAGGCACCCTTTAGCCCTTTAGCGAGACACCCGAGCCGAGTGCCTAAATTCCCTTTTCTTTCCTTTCTTTTCTTTCTTTTATGGGGCTTTGCGATCGCCCGATACGACGTACAGAACCGCGACGCAGGACGATTCAACATCTTTTCTGAATAATTCTTTGTGAGAACAAAGAAATAAGAAAAACCTGAGGGAACCATTTTATGGGACGCGATACGAATGATTTCCAGTGAATGGTAAGGTCCGTTGTTTAATTCTAAGCAATCGATATGCCCATGGAATATTTCTTTTACAGGACAAATAACAATGAACAAAGAATTTTCGTTCGTTTGGAAGAATCGTTGAAACGAATTCTTAATCGTTCCCCGGTGTTTTCATAAACTATCCATAAAACGAGAAACGTGTTAGCATTTTGTTGCAACATTTGAACGTATTTGAAACATTGTTCAGTAAAGAAATGCTTTCACATTCTGCGATTTCATTCTTCTATCGACATTCACGCAGCAGACCTTAAAGATCGCCTCAACCGAAGAAATTCCAAGCCAGCTCGTTAGACTCTTCTCAAGAAATTCTTAAGACTCTCCTTAAAAAGACGGGCATTATATGCAGATAATTGCGAAAATTTTTTCAACTAATGATCTTCCGGTACAGGTATCTTATCTCTGAACTTTCTTATCTGCAAAAAATACCATTGCAAAAGTACTGAGAAACTCGGTGAATGAAAACCTTAAGAAACCTTTATGGATGCGTCGAAACCTTACTTAATGGTACAACGCGGAAGTGTCGGATATAATTACCGATACAATATCGAGCAATGTAGAAGCAACAAACGACACAAGGTAAAAATTACATGTTAATTATTCGCTGAAAGGAAATACTCATGTCAATAAACATGGATTAATTGAATCGACGCTTCCATAAAATTGAGAAACACTGTCTACGGTTATTGGGTTACAGTTTCACGCTCACGGTGGTCTGTCACCTTTCTGTTCAACCTTCGCGAAGGAGCGAACACGTCTTCAACGATCGACAGAAGTAATTCACACCGTACAACGATACACAACACACACATATATTTCTCTCCTCTTTCAAACCGCATATCTCGTTTTTCAATATTACGTTTCTAACGACAATTCGAGTTTTTACCGCCATTTTAACATGCAGCTAACTTCGTACGATCGAAAAAATGTATATCGATCATGTCGACTAAACGAGTAGCAGTTATTGCGATTCTCGAATCGAAACTTGCGGAATCAGTTATCATTATTTGAAAATTGACCGTATGGCAAAGATGCAGAGCTGGTGGACGAACGAAAAAAAAAGAAAAAAAGTAAAAACGGGAAAAAAGAAAGGAAGGAACGTGCGAAATTTGGCGCCCGATAGCGCCACGATGCTGCATTCTCAAGGAAAATAAACCGTTCGCCGTCTGACTATTTGATTTATGAGCGCGGGCGACAACCTACCGCACGGCATACCGAAATAGATCAAGAGGAGAACCATTGCAGTGTATGCGAGAGGTAAATCTGTCGCGGGAACAACCACTGCACCTTATTTTCTACAGGGTGTTTATCAGACATCAGTTTATACATCTTGTTTAGTGACATAACGGGAGCGAAGGAAAGACTGTGGAAAAGAGGCAGGGACAGAGGAGGAGAGGGAGAACGAGAGTATCGTGTACAAACTTACAGCAAGTCGTTGATGTCGCTATCTCGACCGAGTTAAATGTATCGGATAATTACCTCGAGATAAGGTTCACGCGATCGACTCAAGGATCGTTTCGCATCACGAAGCATTTTCTCGTGCTTGATGCAACAATTATGATCGAGGTAGAATGTCTCCGAAAAGTAAGTCTGCTTTCTCTCTGCGTCGCGATAATCGTATGGTTTTTCTTCACTTTTTGTTTAAACTATGACGGTAATATATGACATAACTACATACTACTGTTAGAACAGTTAAGATTTCCTTCGGTTTCTTCTTGTTTCTTTAGGTAACACGAATGCTCGAATGCATTCGTCATTTCGCACGAATTTCCGCGCGTCGATAAATCTTCTGAATTTTTTCGCAGCATGGATTAATTTGCACGGCGAGTTCGTACGTCTGTGGAAGTTGGCAAGGGAAGGAGGGAGAATGTTGAAAAACGCGGTAAAAGTACTCGACATGTGACGAACAGACCGTGAAGGAAGGCAAGGTACATATACATCGCTCTACGACAAATCTACGCGGTGTCCCATAAATACTGATTAAGTCAGAGGGTAGGAAAGACATTGCGACCCTAGGTTCGAGGAAAACAATTAATCGTTTGCAAAGTTGAGGTCGCGTTAAGAGACCGTACAGAAAGCCATGGGAATCTAGAATTGATTTTTGCGATCGATAAATGAATTCCACGAACCGGGTTTCTCCCATCTTTCTCTCTCTTATCTTCTTTGTACCGTGACTGTTACTTCCGTTCGAGGTGCTGTTCCACGAAACGTCTAAGAAGGATGAGAATCAAGGAAACGACGTATTACCTTGAAAGGATAACACGCTCACATGCACGTACGTTAAGTATATCACGGTAATGGAATTACTACCGTGTTGCAGGTTTAGACGAGCATGATTCCTTTTTAACCAAGGGTAAAAACAAAAGTGACTGGATAAAATTAATGGTACATTCTTTGTCGAGGTGCAGAAGAGAGTGTCCCAGGTAAATCACCCTATATATCAATATGCACGCATATACGTCGCGTGGGCGCTGACCATTAAGGTGTTGTTACGACATCAGTCGCAGAGTACACACGTTTGTAAATACCACTTTACATGGAACACATTTGGACGCGTGTATGTTGCACGATCGTTCCGTATTTGGGCTACCAGCGTTAGAGTGGATCTTCGTGCATTGAACGTATATAAGTCACGAACCAAGCCCTTATACGCACACACTGGACAGGAGAACGGAAAAGCACAAGAAAAGGTTTTCAATTTTTTTCCCATTGGATCAATTAATATCGGGTTTCAGTTCGATGAACTGGAATCGAGGGTTCAAGTCATTATTGAACTTACTCTTCTGTTTGCATGGATCCACAATTGTGCTGCAGTTTGCTGCACGTCGGTAGAATCGTATCTCGGACAAAGTTAACTGGTTTATTTGAGGAACGCACCCTTTTAAGACCCCTTTTAGTGTTTGTATACTTCTCCACAACGAGACGAGCCGGAAATGGATCTTTATATCCAACTAGACGAACGTATATAATGATCAAAAGCAAACAAAACGAATCATAAAGGAGACAATGCCTCCGTGATATTTTGTCACACGATACGATCGCGACAGAATGATTAAGTGGAAAAAAGATAGTTCGAGTCTAATTTTTAGCGTGGGTAGTTCTCCTGATAGATTGACATAGCGACGCTGAATGTTTAGCACATGCATTTCCTATCACGATAAAATCGCTAGGAGAGGCTTGCCGCATTGTTGGAATACTTTGCTAAAGTGTTTAACGCAAATGCTTCTAGCGGTGCAACCTTTTTAATGAATCTGTATAATACCGAAGACTGAGACTTGCATTTTCGAATGTACCGTACTATACGCTAGAACAATGCTCTCTAGCCCTGGCTTAAATCTCTCCCAATTCATTGTTACTTTTATCAGGGGAACTGCACTGCCCTCGTTATTGCGACAATACACTACCAAGGGATGTGCCTCTGTCCAGATCGTTGCAATCGGAAATACACCCCGAATCACCCCCTTATACGACATCCTTCTCTGCATCAATAATAGCTGCTACCCGAAATGCAGTGCTTCTCAACTTTATCTTCTGAATTTCTTCGAAAATAATCGTCGATGATAAAAAATATTTTTTTTTTTATTGTTCATTCATGCATCACATTCCTCTTACTCGGCACACAAAGTCTTGATTCTTAAACGGCTCGTTATTTAATTCGAACTTGCACAGTGATAAACGATTTAATGAAACAACAACTACTTACTTACATGGTAATTGTGGCGATACGAAAGTATATTGTATATAATGAAAACAGAAACGGTACCCGTTTTATAATTTGTTACATTCTCTACGCAAGATTTGTAGCATTTTCTTTTTTCAATTCCGAATAGAGATTTTGACATCTTGTACTCTCGCAGTTCTTTTAATCGTGCTCTTCGATAAGAAAAAAAAAATCAATCAACGGTTTGCAGTTTGACGATAAAAAAGCTAGAGTACAAGTTTGAAGCGTTTTCGAGATTGTAATCTCTAGTGTTAAGAGATTAACAGACAGAAAATCGCAGAATGGTCTCGTAAATATTTGCTTACTACTACGAGGAGGCGAGATGCAAACAGTAGCAACTGTAAAACGATACGCAATGATGTTTCCCCGTTTCCATATTCATCGATAAAACATCAGATAGGATGTAATAAAATCAAGTTTTATTTTCAACCATAAAAATTAACGGGAAGGTATCTTTTCCGTAGATCTAGTAGTGACAATCACATCCTACAGAGACACTGTATTTTCGCTTTTGTACGTGTGAGTACCTGTGATTTAAATCACTTTCTAATAATAAAATATCTTGATAGAATTCGCAGTGAATACATTATTTTAGATAAAAATAACGCAAGATAACATGCTTTCGAGGTAAAAGTAAGTCGAACTTACCTAATACGACGAATGTCAACAAAGCCAAAGAGATAGCTAGAATACGCAGCTCCATTGGGCCAGCGGGTGTCACAGACTCCGACGCGTACAAAAACCCACCGTAATTTCTTCACACGATTGCTGCACGAGCATACAATGTCCTGTCGAGCGAACACATGCCAATTCCTTTGACTCACCGTCGCACGTGAAACGACAGATTGAGTCTCGCATCCACAAACCTCATTTTTCCACAACACTATCACGAACCCAACGATAGAACATGGCTAAAATACGGTTACACACCTCCTCATTGTATCGAGTCTACCGACGATTTGACTTGCGCCGCCATTTCGTGGATATCTTGCGATTACAGCGTCATCGTTGAGACTTCACGAAATTAACAGGTGGTTTAAACAATTGCTAACACTAGATTTTTTATACGTTATTTCAAACAATTGAACATCAAGACAGATTTATTTGTTGTACTATAATAAATAGTTCTTTAATATAATTCTTACTGTCAGAATAACGATTGTCAATACTTCATGTTATACATTTCATTTATAGATTATACTTCTGAACACGTAATTTGAATGGAATATTAGATAATTACAATCATGAAATTATGAAGATAACATTACATTATGATTTTATAACCTTTTATAATAAGTGTTCAATATACAGTATTTGATTTTGATGAAAGTGATTCGAATGAAAAGGCCGCTTATCTAGAGATTGCTATGTTTATGGTGGCGGCACCAAGCGTCTTTCTGAGTTGAGGTTATGTTTCTGTTGCATTTAAAAAAAATACATAAATAAACGTTCATGTAGCCGTCAAATACATATATTTTTGCCATTTCATTGAGTTATTTTTGTAGAAAGTTACGGTGAGTTATAAGGTTAAGATAGGAACCTACTTATAAAGCATGATTTTTGTTACTATTTATTACCGTTCCGGTTTGTGTATACTAAACTCAATACTTATATTGTTTTTATGAAATACCTAATTTTAAAGTTAGGCTTCTTTAGTAATATAAACTTAAATGTTATTAAGTGTGAATTCTGCAGTTTAGATAATTATATTGTTATCATAGATATTTTCAAACCACCAAAATGTCAGGCGGCATGCTTTATGGAGGAGATGAAATTGGAGCATTGGTGTTTGACTTGGGTCATCATTCTTTAAGAGTGGGTTATGCTCAGGAGGATACTCCAAAAGCTGAAATTCCAGCAGTTGTAGGTATAGGGGAAGATGGCAATAGTACAGCAACAAAAACAGAGCCCATGGATATAGATGATAAAAAGCCAGACAACATTACACAATCTGGGACCAAGTATTATATTGACACTACTATACTTCATGTTCCAAGGAAAAATATGGAAGTTGTAAGTTATATGAAAGATGGAATGATTGAAGATTGGGATCATTTTGAAAAGGTAACATAGAAATATGGTATTGTAAAGTTAGCCTTTAGGATTTTTAATTTTCACATACACATTATATAGATACATTCTTTTACATAGGTTTTAGATTATACTTATTCCAAAGTAATTCAATCAGATGCAGAATATCATCCAGTATTGTTTTCTGAATCTCCATGGAATGTACGCAGTAAAAGAGAAAAACTAACAGAATTAATGTTTGAAAAGTATAATGTACCAGCTTATTTTCTTGTCAAAAATGCAGTCCTTGCTGCCTTTGCAAATGGTAGAGCAACTGGTATTGTTGTTGATAGTGGAGCAACACACACTTCTGCTGTACCAGTTCAAGATGGTTTTGTATTAACACAAGCAATAGTTAAATCTCCACTTGGAGGAGACTATATAAGTATGCAGTGCAGGCAGTTTTTACAGGTATAATTATGCTTATAAATATTGTTTTATGACAATGTTGAAGATGGATAACTATATTGTGTAAATAATAACAGGACAATGACATTGACTTGTCCCCTTCTTACATGGTGGGCAGTAAAGAAGTTGTTAAAGATCACGAGAAACCAAGATGGGTAAAAAAGAAGGGGTTGCCTGAAGTTACTAAGTCTTGGCATAATTACATGGTAAAGAAACTTATTCAAGATTTTCAAGCTACAGTGTTGCAAGTATCAGAAACTCCATATGATGAAAAAATCGTTTCTACAATTCCTGCAGTTCAGTACGAGTTTCCAACCGGATATCACCAGGTATGTATCAAGTGATTTAATGTATATTAATCCAAAAGATAGGTATATAATAAATAATAACGTTTCAGGATTTTGGAAGTGAAAGATTTCGCATGCCAGAAGCACTTTTTGATCCCAGTATGGTACAAATGCGCGGTGGTATGGTTGGTAATACTATGCTGGGAGTAGGACACATTGTTACAACTAGTGTGGGCATGTGTGATGTTGATGTAAGACCAGCACTTTATGGAAGTGTAGTTGTTACTGGCGGTAATTCATTCATTCAGGTATGTCTCTTTGTAAATAAACTTAAAACTTATATCAAAGATTTTTTCATGTTATTTTCAACATGTTTCGCGTAGGGCTTTCCGGAACGCTTAAATAGAGATCTTTCCATGAGAATTCCTTCTAGTATGAGATTGAAATTGATTAGTGTAAATGGATGTGCCGAACGACGATTTGGAGCTTGGATTGGTGGATCCATTTTGGCCTCAATCGGTACTTTCCAACAAATGTGGATATCGAGTCAAGAATACGAAGAAAGCGGAAAAAGCCAAGTAGAACGAAAATGCCCTTAAATAAAAACGATAAGTTATTGCCATTTGTCTTTTCTTGATATCATCAATACTTGTACAAATATTTCTTGGATGATTTTTTTAAGTAAATAGTTGCGAAATATTACACTTAAAAAAAATTAAGTCTGATATACAATGAATTATTTGACTTCTTTTTTTAATATTCATTTAAGACAAATGTGTTCTGAATATTAACCTAAGACATGAATAAGTATATTTTACTTATACGTGATACTAAATAATGACCTGTAAAATACGCAGTCAAACGTGGAAGTTCTATTTATTATTAATGCACCACATAAACGCAATAAAATTTTGTAAGAAATGGTGTATAAAGAATTGTACTAAGATTTTTATAAAAACTTACAGTAAAAGGCTGTGTCTTTGAAGTTTTTATGATTACTGTTGTTCCTTCTCATATATTTCCTATTGGAATGAACTTCAATTGTAAAGACAGTTTCCCCTAATGAAATACTACAGCAAAGTATGGTCTTCTCTTTAAAGTTCCTCTTCCTTGTCATCACATACAATATTCCAAGACAGAATTATGCTGTGTGAATAATATATGATCAAAGGTTATAACTTCGAAAGAAGCTACTCATATTGATGAAGTGTGGACATATACTGTTTTTAAATGCTTTAGCATATGATCAAAGCACAGAGTATTGTACAAAGCAAATACATCATTATATCCTTAATACTTTATGCCAATAATTAAACTTACAATGTCTCCCTGTCTTAAAAGTAGTTGCTTAGTAAAAATGAAATTAGTCCTAAAATGGATAAAATCCAAAGTGTAGAAACACAGTGTATTTAAATAGTAATAATTATTTAAACTAGTGAATCTATAGATTAAGTTATTTATTTAAAATGTATCCATTGTAATAGACCAAGTATCCAATCAATCAAATATAATGAACATTAAAAATTACGTCTTTATAAATCAACTGGCCCTAAAGTTTGTTGGACTTTATCCAATAAGTATTATCAGATATCTTATATGCATTAGTTGTATTATGCTTATAATCATACCACAAATAACAATGATTTATACAAATTGGGATGATCTAAATATCGTCTTGGAAACAAGGTGTGAACATTTGTAAAAGTAAAGTAAATCAAGTTTAATATGAATAAAAATATTTATTAGCTATTTTATTTTTTATAGCTCAAGTCTACTTACAATTTCCCTTGCTACATTAAAATCAATAATTTGGATGTTTAACAGAAAAAAATTGGCGGTTTTCATTGAGTTCATGTTAACAGACTATTGGGAAATAGTTAAAACTAACGTTTCTGAATACCTACAAGAATATGCAATGTAAATTATCTTTAATATGGAAAATTATATTTACATCATTAAACTTTCAATGAAAACAGAAATATAAAATACACATTTTTTCAGATATGCTAAAAATATTACAAAGGGTTATTTTATTTCAATGTGTAATGCATTACTATTCTTCTGTAGCTTGCCTATTATCGAAATATTTGTTACTGAACATCAAAACTCTGATAATCTTACTCTGAAGAACTTTCCATTTGCTGCAACATATCCTACAGTTTTTTATAACTTTCCTTTTTACGAGGTATTATTTCTTTTTGCTTCCTTTGCTGGTTTAATTATAGATTTAAATTTACAAATACACGTGTACAGATTGCATATGTGTCTCAAGCGCTAGCAACCAGTATTTGTTGTCTAATGATACTTGCAACTGATGGTCTAATTGCAACTGCTGTGCTCCATACATGTGGGCATTTTGCAGTACTTAAAGAAAATTTAAGGCGACTTGATTTATGCATTTATCGCGTATGTATAACTCTATCTTATGTGTAATCGTAATAATATTATTGCTGAAAAAATCTCGTTCTTATAGGTGAATAGTTTTGAAAACAATTCGAAACATATAAACGCGAAATTATACCAGATAAAAGTTCAAATCACACACTTAATTAAACATCATCAAGTAGTCCTTTGGTAAATAAATTTAATACATTTTAAGAAGTTTCATTATTCTTTTTATTCATGTGATTGAAATTTAGGTTTTGTGATAATATGGAAAAGAATTTTCACCTAATGCTCCTTTTACAAACTATGACCAGTAGTCTTATGATTTGTTTCGTCGGATTTCAAGTTTCGACCGTAAGCGTGATTTTAAAATTTAAAACATTATAGTACAGTATAAATAAATTACAATTCTTCATTTAATATATACTCTTTCATTATAGACACTAACAGAACAATCTAAAGTAATTAAATTTGCTTCTCACTTAATCGTGACGCTTTTTCAATTATTACTCTTTTGTTTCCCTGGGGATATGCTAATCCGACAGGTGAATTATGCAATAGTAGATATATAACAATAGATGTACTTCATTTTAAATTAATTTTTCTTATGAAAGAGTTTCAGTATAAGTACAGCTGCATATTCAATACAGTGGTGTCAACTGCCAACTTTTCTTAAAGACGAAGTATGCATGATTATACTACGTTCTCAAAGATCTAGCTACATTACTGCGGGAAAGATATATGTGATGCATTTGGAAAATTTCACCGCGGTAAAAATTTCATTCCATATTAGTCTATAAAAATATAAAACATTTTTGTTATCATAATATGACTTATCATACAGTATAACAATTATTTCATAATTTACACATATTTGCAGATACTCAGTACTGCATGTTCATACTTTATGATGCTTCAAAGCTTCAATTCAGAAGCTTAGAAACCAACAATTCATGGTATTATGTACAAATAATAAAATATCAGGTATTTTATAACACAACACTCATTACATGTATGCTCCCCAACCAAAGTACATCTGGCAAAAATTATCCACGTTTGTTGCCTCCAATATCAAATGATTAGTTTGTCCCTCAACACTGAGATTTAAAGCAATGTTCTCTAACTTCTTTCCGTGAGACCGAATCAAACCCTTGAGCCTTTGTTCTATATTTTTTATGTTTTCTACGGCCTAAAACGTTCGATATCGTATTTTATACCGTATTTATATCGATAAAATTACTATACTGTTAACTAAATTGTAACTTACTTTTTCATTTGTTTTCTCACCATCTTCACCGACGTGATTTTTATTCCAGCTTACAAGAGGATCATACACAAATGGTGTCAAAACACTTAGTAACGTGCTGCTTTGTTGTCGAAGCACCCTCATAGTTATTTCACAAGCACGCCTAAATGGTCCCTCGATTTTTAATGGTCCCATTGCGTCTACCATATTGTGCGTTAAACGAAATGGCACACGTTCTGGCCACTCGAATAATTCTCCCTGATAATTAAAATTTAATGTTATTATATACTGTTCCGTCGTGTTTTAACAATGAATAAAAATCAAATATTTTAATGTATTGTGATCATATTTTCGCTATAATTTTTTACATACCCTATTAAATAGGCAATTAAAATCTACATGTACGCAATCCCCGCATTTAGAATCAAATAGTATATTCTCTCCATGACGATCTCCAAGGCCAAGAATGTACCCCACCATGGACATTACTGCTGTAGTTCTAATATACGCAGTACGTGCTTCGTACCTATTTATTCCAAACGTATTTTATATTTTTTTATATTCGAATAATAAATTTTTATTTTATTAACAGAATTAATTGTAAAGTTTACCATCCATATGAATCAGGAAATGTAAGGCGAAACCAATCTCCGAGAACTGAGGGATGTCTCGGAAGAAGTTGTTCTAGGAACATTTTTCTCTTTTTCTCCAATGGATCTTTCAATACTGAAATGCAACATGTAAGTATATACTTTATACATAATTAATGTTTTGCATAATAGTACTTCCACTTACGGCATAACATGCTCTTCAGTTCTCTGTTGGAAATTGCAATGCCTCTTTCTTTGTATAAACTTATTATAATAGGTCGAAAACCAACTAAATTCGGCACCCACTCTACTAAACCGCATTCTTCATTAAGAGGTACAACGCTCTGTAATATATACGGTTTACATTATAGAACATTAACGTTACAACTAATATCATTGAACACTTACGTATGTCCGAATATACAATCTTCTTTGGCGCGATTCTGGATCATTTTGAAGATATCTATTTACGATATCGTTGAATTCCATTAATCTGAAGTCCCTTCGTAAATCATCTTTTGGTTTACACATAAAAAGATATTCTTTGCCATCTGATCCTTTCAATGTAATACGTCGCGGTCTTTGAAGAGATGGCATAATAGCTACATTGTCTTCTATCCCCGATATGTGAATCCAGTTTCTGAAAATTGCAAAAGATTGCATCTTATTTGTAATAAACAACGTGTAGCAGATATTAAAAATGTTATTATGCAATGCTATACACACGAAGAAAATACATTATAGTTGTCGAATGAAACGCCTTTAGAGGGTAGGTGGAGTTGTCTGAATTTGGTTGTTGGAATCATTATTGGACTAAAGTCCTTATTAGCCAGTAAACGAGGAAGAGTTCGCGACAATTGATTTACCGTAGTATTCATTAAACCCTGTTAAAAAATCATGAATGAATAGGATTGTATACATCCGTAAAATATTTTAACTTACATCTGGTATCGTTTTGTTGGATAATTCAATTAATCTCTCCCATAACTTATGAAAATCTGTAATAAGTTTTGTCATTTCTGGTGTTTTAAGTTTCGAATGATTAAGAATTTCTTGGCACCTTTTCTGACGCGCAGGATAAGAAGACTGAAAAAATGTTTTGATCAGAGTTCGTTCAACTTGTTAATAATTAAAAAACTTACATTAATAACTGATGCCATCATCCATAAGCTATGTTGAGGGTAAGCATGAATTAGCTTTACTAATATAATACGAAGGGTATTCTGCACCTCGATAGAAGGATGACATATTCTAGACACAAGTTGACTAAATGCAGTCAGCCACATGAATATCGGTAATCTTTCTTGATATACCTCTATAACACGAAAAAGGAATTTGTCACTCCGTTGTTTTTATTTCAAAATTTAATGTCAACTATTGAGACGCTTACCCATAATTTTTGTCATTTTTAATAGAGCATCATGTCGTAATGTATCGTGTTCTGTATGTCCAAAATTATTAGTTCGTGACGTTGCACGAGAAGCAAAATCTAACCATATAGTTAACATTCTTGGCATAGACTGATGTATATACTTGCACCCATATTGAAGCGACTTTCCATAATAATTCATAGTATGTACTTGTAAATCTCTAAATATATTATTAATTAGATATTTTATACATTAACAATATCTTTTGTTTCGTACTTACCGTCCTCTCGTATCTTTTTCTTCATCCATCATCCTGTCTATTACAGACTCGTAATATTGTGCACAGGACAGCAAACTTTTTTCCCACTCTCTCCATACTTCAATAGCTTCTTTATAATTTATGATATTGGCATCGGTATCCACGTTAACTGTTTCATCGTTATATTTTGCGTATAAGAGTTTTGCCTACAATAAAGAAACGTTAATTTAACTTACTAATATTGTACCATATTTCTTTTTAGCAAACGTACCTTTGCACATTGCTTCCTCTCCTCTAAATTCTCTTTTGGTGATAAGCCTTTGTAATATGCAGCTGGCTGGAAACAACTGGAGAAACATCGTTTTAATGTTGTAAACGCATCTTCCTGACAACCTTTTTGCCAATACAATTGAGCTTGTTCTATATAGAGTTGCTGTAGCGAACAAGAATCGCTAGCTGATAAAATGTACATGTACGCTTGCTGGTGTAGACCACTCCTAAAGGAATCACAATTTGAATAAATGATAACACAAGAAAAAATAATAATTATAAATAGTAACACATACTTCCTTGCAATTTTGGCACTTTTAAGCCAGATCTTGCCAATTTCTTGCTTTAGTACAGAATTCTCTTTGTTATCAATTTCCCTTTGTAATTGAAGTGCCAGATCTAACGTAGCCCTACGCATACTCAAGACAAATTCTACTCCACGTGAAGCTCGAACAAGTTGACCGCGTCTTTCCCATTCTTCCAATATCACCGGTAATTGTTCTATATCAGTTAGCATGGTAGAAACTGCCTTATCAAATTCGTTCAATATATGCAACCTATTCATAATAATAAAACATGGTCAAGTTTCAATTTTTTCGTATCAGATACGATTTTAAATATTAATCTTACTTCATGATATAAGAATAACTTTGCTGATAAGCTCCTGGCCGTGAAGCATCTTCTAACAGCGACACTATATTTTTTTTTAATGACGATAAGTCCGGTTTAATGCGTTTTTTGAGATCCTCCAGCAGTACGTGTTTTATATTTTTCTGAGATGTATCATCAAGTCTGGTAAAATGAGCCAACCTCCAAAACGGTTCGTGTTCTATCATTAATGGTTCTAACTCTGGTCTGCTGCTTAAGACTCCTTCAGTAATATGTTTTGCTGTGAATGGCTGGTCAAGACCAAGGTAACACTGGATCATCCCTTGCAAATACGTATGTTTCAAAACTTTCTTCTGCGCCAACCTTTCATAACATGTAGCCGCATCCTATATGTTTTGCGAACATTTTAAATGTATAAGTATTAATTACTACACTTAAAGAAATAGATTTAATCGAACCTGAAGTTGCCCATTAACTTCATGAGCTAAAACTAATTGTTGAAGTGTAGGAGTATGATCCTGAGTAGCTAATATACCAGATATACCATCTGGTTCATCTAATTGTGCATATATCTTCTACAGAAAAGAGGTAATCAGTTAGCTATCTTCTGCTTTATATCAATTTTGAATTCACTTACGGCGAGCAATCCACCCTCCAAATCTTCTGACAACCCTTTATTAGAAGAAGCCATGTGTTGTTCTAAATACATCAGTGCTCTATGATATTCTCGAGATTGATAACATCCCTCGGCTATTATTAATGCATTTAATTTCTCACAAAAATCTAAATAAATATGAA